AAAAAAAGTGGGAAGTGATTTTCAACAGTCTATTGTTTGCTCCATTATTAAGGGAATAAATGTGTGCTCCGGAGGTTTTTATCACTCGTTTAATACCGCTTAGAGTCTGGGTGCTGATAATTACCCGAGCCGGAGGCGAGGGTAATTATCAGCACCCAGACTCTAAGCGGTATTAAACAGAGTGATAAATACCGACCGAGCACATATTTATTCCCATTCATAAATACCTTATCCGTAAAAAAATATCAAATAATTCGTTCAAAAAATCCCAATTTTGTTCAACAAGTTCAATTCATGCTTTTTGAAACATCCCTCTAGCAAAATAATGGAGTGTTCAGCTGGCGAGTAAGATGTAAACAACCCTTTTATGGAGATTGACGCGCGCGTAACATGTTCTGCGCGATGTCACGCAGAACGCACCTGGGGCGTTGCGTTTTGAATTTAGAACTATAAAATTCTGACTCGCTTGTAGTGTTGCGCATGCCTACGTGAGGATTGTGAACGTTCAACCAATGAAACGGTAAGAGGCACTGGATTTTTAGGAGTCCACATTTCATTGTGACACTGGAAAAGTGTTTAAGACCAGCTATCCATGTCTTTATCATCCGTTTAAGACCGGCCACGTGACGGGCTCTCGACCAATAGGAATAGCTAAACTGTCTGAGGTATTTATGAATGCGTTGTAAACAACACGTATCAAATTCTCATCGCCAGGAGCAGATTACGTATGTAGTATAACTACTTATAGAAACAACACAACTTCATATTGAAAGAAAAGAGACTGAGAAAGCCCCTTGGTGCAATGATTTTTTCATCGTCTACCGCTGTCATATAAAACTCGGACTGCTATGAAAATTGGTCTCTTTCAACTTATACATTGCGGTGACCCTCGCACGTGACCCATGACGGTCTTGATTAATTCAGTATTATCTTGATTTATTGCATGCGCAATACAACCAAAGGAGTCCGTATTTCATAATCCAAATTGCATACGAAACCGGCATATAGTATCTAGATTTTTTTTTTTTTTTTTTTTTTGTAAACAGGTTTTGCTCCGCCTTGAAAACTAACATATTCCTTGAAATGAAAATACTCGATTGAGATACCAGACAATCTGTCGCTGTGCTTGTCCAAAGAAAGGTACCAACCTAAACATTCACATTTTATTGTTGTTCGTAGGCTGGTTACCGGAATTAATCTAGGAAACTGGATCGGAAGAGATTCCCGAAACACAATTAGCGTTGAGAATATCCCGCCCTCTCCTGGCTGCCCAAAGTCAGTTTCGACGACTGCTATATAGTTAAGAATATACAATTAGGTGAAAAATGGCGTTCAAGAACAGCTGTTGTAAATTTATGTTCGGTGAGTTTTCATAACCGTGCAACTGTACTCTTTTCTTCACTTTTTCTCAAATGGCCACCGCCTAATTTGTGTTCAAGGGACAGAACAGCTTCAACGTAGACCCGGGCATAGACCTCATAGCTCACATGATCCAGCCTAGCCCACAACTGAGCATCCGAATGTCTTTCATATAGTTCGTTGTGACATTCTCGTCTCCGTTAGATCCGACAATAAGACTACCCCGGTTTATCTTTTTAAATAGATATTCAGTGACAAGCATATCTGCCTGTCGCAAGGCGAGATTTTTGAAAAGTGCTCCCGAGTGAGACCAATTTTCTGGGCGACAAGATCCGAGGTGTGACCTTTTCTGGGCGGTAGTCATGCGGAGAATTAGTCCAATTATAAAACCCTGACGAAGGAGGGACGCTAAAATGTTAAAGGTCTCCGCTCACCTCGGGTAACTGTGTCATTTTCATAATTGAGTGGGTGCTCTCGCCTTGATCCTATTCCCCGATATCTTTGCCCACTTGATCTGATCTGAAGCTTGCGCTTGTTGGAGTGTGCATGTAATTTACTGTACCTTGTTCCCCGTGTGACGTAGACGTCCATTGTGATTAACAACGTGCAGTTGATGCACACTTGGCCTGCGCAGACATCGATCTCTAGGGTCTATGGGTTTTTTTTTATCTAGAAGTGATATAATGGTCGTTCGTTGTACTGATTCACGTGTTGTGTGTACTTCAATCCGGGTTCTTCATATTTTTTCTTTGAATTAAGAACAAATGGACTCTGTTTTGACAGCCCGTCTAGATTTTTTTTCCGGGGGGGGGGGGCGATTTTTACACTGTCCCAAAATGCAGTGCAGCATATACTTCCGCTGAACAGTTCCGGTCTGATCGTTGAGTGAGGTCCGCCTTTAAGGCAACTGGACTTTTGAAAAAAAAACATGCCCTGTGCTTGCCTCGGCATTCTGAAATTACCACAGTCTTGATTTACCTTTCGTGAAACATAAGCGCATTCGTATACCTGCGCCATTTGAACTAACTGGGAAGTAAACAGAGTTGTGCATTTTGCAATCGGAACAACCTGCAAACAGATCCTGTTTCTCAAAATCGTTAGCCATTTAATTTACTTTCTAGAGCACATCCAGTTGGATCAGGTCGACTTTGATCCTTGGACTGGCACCAATAGTATCCAGATCGTTAGCGTAACCCATCTGTGCGTGAAGTGTTTACAGAGACACGACGACGGATAAACGGTATCACCCATAGCGTCATAGCTCCGGGTGCTTTTCCAAGTGTTTTCCGTTTTGAAGATCCGTTTTTATTTCAAAGTGGTTTTTGTTTCCGCCTGAAGGCGGATTCGCTGTCAACAAGGCAGTATATTATAAAACTAACACCTGCTTTTATCGTTTTATTTTTTAGGGTGCAACTCGTGAATTGCCCAAACAGAAAATCCATATACATCAAATTTCAGTATAAAACGCACATTCAATTGGAACCATTCGTGTTTTCTTTAAAACAGGGCGAGTCGAAAAGAAATGACCTGGATTAATGTTTGTGTTTCTTAAAAAGCAATCAAATTCGATACACCAATGAAGTATGTCTTAAAAGAGCATGTTCTTCCACTCATCTGGAAAAAAAGATTATTTAAATTGATCCTTGCTATCAGGAGTTATGCATGTTTTACTAAAAGAAGCCGTTTATAGCTGTCCTTGGAATGCCATTGGAAGCTATTGACATGGGCGTCGCGAGGGGGGGGGGGGGCAAGGGGGGCACTTGCCGCCCCCCCCCCTGGAAAAGCAACAAAAAAAAGAAGAAGAAAAAAAAAAAAAAAAAAAAAAAAAAAAAGAGGCGCGAAGACAAAGTGGTGTAAATTTAATGAGTTGGGGGGGGGGGGGCAAAATGTCCCTGCCCCCCTCTAAAACTGATAAATCGAGAATGTGTTGAGAAACACAAGCATTTTTTGGCAAAAGGTTTTTTTTGCCCCCCTCTAGAAAAAATCCTGGCGACGCCCATGGCTATTGAGCTGAGTGAGAATTACAGATTACACACAAGCATTCAAATACAAATGAGATTTCAATCAGTTGAGTCAAGACTGAAACATTATTTTTATTGCCAGATGTTGTGTTTTGAATATGAGGAACAAGTCAAATCATTTTTTCCTCAGAAACACCACGGCGATTATTATCTGTTTTCCTTGGCAACTTTTCGTTCATTCAAGGCGATGGGAAAACGTCCATGTTTCATTGTATTTAATGGGTATTCATCAGATTGTAGGTACATGATCAGTAGTGGACAGCTGAATTTTGTGATCCTTTTATTAAAATAATTATACATAACTTGGGAATAGAGTTTGCAATTTACGTGAAATTTTCACAGTTACTAGTCAATAACATGTACTTTATCCCCGTGTTATTTTTATGAAATGGAGCGGGCCAGATATTTTTAGCTGTTTCGGCAGACGCCTAAACAGCTCTTGTTTTTCGTTAATTTTAAATATAAATATTTTTTTGTAATTTTGTTACTTCTTGTTGCCTTACCCTGTACATCAATTGAAAGTTACATTCACGAGAAAATGTGTATAATGTCTGGGCTCAGAATCTTATTGTCTCCGAGTATTTTGATATCAATATTTAGGATAATATTTTCCGGTACTGCAGCATTGCTAATGTTGCTAGCATCGTGGCGCAATCTCTGGCTACATGGCATTATACAGGTTTATGACATCTGACTAAAGCTCCCTGAACAAAAACATTGACTAACTGGGGAGCCGCCAACACAAGTCTGGATAACTCAGTTGGTAGAGCACCGGAACGGCAATCCAAAGGTCACAGGTTCACACTCCGCTCAAGTCAATATCTCTGTTCAACTTTTAACTTAAAACAAACCAAGAAACCAATAAAATCCGACTTTTTTATTCATACAGTCAGGCAAATTATGAGCAGGCTCATGTTATTGTCAATAAAAACAAAGGTTTTAAATGTGCTTGTGAATCAGTATCTATAACACAAGATTATCCATCCGACTACATGTATCGCCAATAAGATTAAATTTTACTAGGTCAAAATATCTCGAGTCTGGTAGTCAACAGAGATGTGGTATAATTTCAAATAAGATCTTCTTTAAAGGCAGAAACATTTACTTTTCATGCATTTTGTCCTTTCTCAGTAATAACACTACTGAAAATTCAAAGACGACTTTTCAAAACGAAACCTGTTGAATATTCAGTTCAGCAGATAGTACACTTTTCGAGAAAGCAGGGTGGATCGTTTGATCGTAAACATGCACCATTTTGTCTATAACAAACTCTTTATTTTCAAAATTCAGTCAATTGACTGATCGTTAGAAACCACCCCTACTTTCTTTTTTATTTGTTCGAAATGACAGCAAGCCAGACGGAATAGTTTCACGGGGTGTTTAGTACCAGTACGATCGTCAAGTACGCTTTTTGATAATATTCGGTAGGTTACTTTTGGAATCAATGCAAATGAGGATGCCTTTAAAGACGTACCCTCTAACCAAAACAATATATGCAGGTCTACAAGGACTATCTTTGTTGTTGTTTTTCCTCTTGCAAAACTGATTGTCCACGTTGAATGATGAATGGGTTCACATTAATAGGTATGAAAAATGAAATAATTAAAACTCAAAACTCACCGTTTCTTCACCGAAGTGGCCGTACCTGCTGGCCTGCACGACTGCCACTAGACACACTGTAACGAACATCACGGCCACAACGTTCTGCGGTTTCACTTCCATTGTTGAATGGGATTTCAAAAGTCTTTCAATTTCGACTTGAACGATTCGCGGGCTTCGAAAAGTTACACAAATAATCGTCTTTGTTGTTGTGTTTTTCCTGGCACGGTCGTGAGCACCGGTTGGGAATACCGTGTTGTTCTTCGCCAAGTATTACAGCTCCAGTCAAGAAAATTGAAAAGTTGACATAGGCACTGCTGTTCTCAATAATATTTCTCAGAAGATATCCAGAGAAGTCATTTTCAATTAAAGAGCGAGTTTTGCAGATATGTATAGCCGTTCGTCGCAGTGAAATCGCCCGCACGTGGCACTGTCCATTCACCGATAGTGGTATCACAGATGAGAAACTTGAACCGATAATGATTTTGTTTGCTGACGACGTCACGTTTTTATATCTGTCACTGGCCATTGATGACGTCACTCGTCCCTCCTCCCCCCATTGATTAATGTCGTGGTCACGTGACCTGACGGGGGAGGAGGAGGTGGTTGCGGCCACCTTTTAACCGTCAGTCAAACCCTCACGGCATCGCGAGAGTACTGTGTTTGTGAGTGGGTCGACTCTCAAGTACGTGTACTTGGGGTAAACGGTTCGTGAACGATACGCGTTGACTGGACTGCTTACGCTACGGGTGATGAGTCTGCGTGGTTGTGAAGTGGTGGACACTTTAAAGGGGCGCGTGCAATATTTGTTTTTTTATCTATGATAACCAATGGTATTACTACACTGAGAAGGTTTTATTGAATGACCCTGCCCTTTAAATGACCCTTGTCGTTTATTCACGGATGTAGGAGATTTTTGTTTCTTTCTAGGACATTTCTTTTCAGGCTTCTATGGGATTTATACATTTTTTTTATTCACGTTTTTCCCGAACCCAGGAGGCCACAGGCAAGACCCCCTCCCTGGCCCTACCTCTCCTGGACCTACTGGACCTGGAACTGAAATGCGATGATTAATATACCGTATCTACCGATTTTATAAAAAAAAAAACTGGCTCAAAGTGAAGATAGGAATGGTTCCAATACCCTGTGATGTTAGTCCACGGTGGGAAATAAACAAACGTTGAAGATGGTTTAAAAAAAGTGTGTCCGCAGGCACACTTTTTTTTACGTGCGTTAGCAACGTCATCCAGAGACCCCAAAAATAGTACACACACAGATATGTTTATCAAAACTTAGGCCTATAGTAGTAATGAGTTGAAGCTTCAACATGTTAGTTGTTTATGACCTTAAAAGAAATGCACAAAAGTAAATGAACCTACACGTACCTTTAACATTTTGAGGCACGTGCACAGCACGAACTCTTTAATGCCAAGTTGTCGCGTGGGCTTTGCCCCTACACCGTGCGCGATATGCCTGCTTGAAATCAAGGCCCTTCACCCCAACTGAGTCCACAGGTGATTTCCCAGCTGAATAAGGGTCAACGGTCGCCAACGCGCTAGCTGCTAATTCCAAATTGCCTTTACTGGCTTGTCCTCTATGGAAAATTATCACATTCAAACAATGAATACCCAGCAGTTATAATCATGTAATTGCTGCGTTCATTGCGTATGGCCATTCATGTTTTAGACTAAAATATATTTAGCTTTACCATTTTGTTTTCCTTAATGATGGCTTCCCCTATAGGCGAATGACATTCTACGTTGATTCTGGCTATTTCAGAATAATTTGAAACACGTCATTTGTATATGTGACATTTGAAAGAATGCGGTGAAAGTTTATACAATGCAGTTGGGGAAAAAAAGGGGAATCATAACAGCTAAAACTTGATATTGTAATAAACAAAATTAGCTTTCGATTATGTGGGGGAAAAAATATTCGATTCCTTATAAGATAGCTTATGTAGCAGGGGATATTTGTTGGCAAATGGCCAGCCTGAAAAAAATCAACCTGAAAGTTCAAAGCACATAATTATCTCTGGTCACTTTCGGGTTTTTTTTCGATCCTTAGGCGCAATTTCCACTATATTTCTTTACTATCTAGTGACTCCTTTAACAATTGACCGTAAGTAACTTTGAGCGTAGTTTGCCAGTGTGAAGATCTCATTACTGACAGACAAGAATTATACAGTAATATTTGACTGCCACAATTGGCAAATTTGTTCCCAACAAAAAGCAGACATGCCGATTGTGGAAAACAAATGACCAGCAGAACAATTTCTAATGTTGACAGCCTCCTTTAACATTGGTTGCCGTGAACCGCAAATAGTTCTGCAACAAAGGTGCTCCAGCTGTGGGAATATCATGAACAAGGATAGTAAATCAATCAGGAAAGTGAAATTCTAGCGAGCTGAACATTTTTTTTGTTGCGGATGTCCTTCCCCTTTCGGGTCAATGTCGTGTACGGGGTAGCCCGCAGGGGGTATGTATAGTAGCTGTACTGTTCCGTGGGTAATTTTCACCGTAGTCGTACTTTTCAGCGACGAATGCGGTATTCCTCGTGGGGCAATCAGCGTCAAAAGCCCGGCTGTGGAACTCCCGTCGCCGCTGCGCCGCGCCGGTTTACCGTTGATTGATGGGTGTTTTCTTCTTTTTTCTTGTATTATTTTTTTTTCTTCACAAATATCTCATTTGGAATGTAGACGGATTTATCGGACTTGGGGGTATGTGAGTCACTTCTGGAGGAATTCATGTCTAAATCCGCATGATTCACCTTTATGTTCCCGGGATTTTATTAGTTTCATCCGAATTCTTAAAATATTATGTCCTTGTTTTTACGTCCATAGTCCCCCGAGTCTACAGATGGATAAAAAAGAAGAAGCTATTTCCCAGGTTTAGAATGTGTCGTACGATGGAAATATAAGCACACTTTCACTTGGGTCTGAATGAAAATCATTGCTCATAACCACGTTTAATTCTTCTTTTTTCTCTCATAAAAGTCATGATTTATTATAAATCTCCAAATGGTGTACTTTCTGAACTGGTCTTTGTGATTGTAAAAGAAAGGTAGACTAAAAGGTTTCGAGCATAATGGCTTCACGCATAACAGATACAAAACCCAGGCGATTCTTTTGTATTTCAGAACAACAGGTGGAAAAAAATAGATGGCTGACACAATTAATTAATTTACTATACTAGATCGATGTCATTGTGCTTTCATCAATAATTCCAAATGAAACATATTTTGAAATGGATATTTTGTAGCGAGGCAAAGATTGCAAACATTGCAAACTAGTCTGGCATTTTGACCTAATTATGCGTGAAGGCACACGAGTACAATTGATTCGATGTAAATCGACCATGATAATCACTCGAATAAGGCTCGTATTCTATTGTGTATCTGCAGACGGTTTCGTTATGTGGTGACAGAGCATTTAGTCCCTGAACTTTCAGTTAAGCCGGTCAATGTGGGTTGGAGAATTTGCACCTTTTCTTCATTTCCAAGGAAGCACCACGTTAATGCGTTCCATCCCACATGGTTGTTTACGAGATGCCTTCGTTCGATCAAGGACAAGGTCCCGCCTTGAACATTCAAGACCCGGGGGCAGGATCCGCCCCCTTGTACATATTTTGCCAATTTCACCGCAAGGTCTTGTTTTTTTCTACCAAGCCTTAAAGGCAGGATCATGTGCTTTTCATGCATTTTATTCGTTTCCGTTAAGGAGAATACCCGAGAAAGTGTGGATTCGTAATTTCAGAATTCACGAGGCGCGAGGCGCCAGGCGCCGAGTGAATTAGTAAATTAAGAATCCACACTTGCGAGTGTATTCTTCGACTTAAACCAGTGAGTGGAGATGAAAAGACTTGCATATCTCGTGTCGATTCGTGGCCATTTACAAGGGAGTTTTTCGAGGCTCTTATATGTAATCAAGCATTGTGGCGTGTTTAGCATGTGTATCGCCACACCCGTACAACCAGGTAATTTTGTGTGTATAGGCTCCTTCCCTCAACATGGATAGTTCAGACGATTATTTCTTTCTGACTCAAAGTAGTTTTTGCAGTGACAGCGGATAATCTGACAATGAAGATGCATTGGTGATTTTCGGAAGGAAATTTTCACGCAGACGGTCCTATTAATGCTCATTAGGGAGAACAATTGTCCGACATGTTCAACGTGTTGATTCGTGATTCCGAATCCACACTTTACTAAAGATTCGTCGTTCCGAATCCACACTTTTAACAATAGTGTGACGTCATAGCAATGGTTTAAAATAATAACGCCACTCGAAATCCAATTAAGAATATTCAAAACCTATCGTACCTGCTACAGTTCAGCTCAGTGGACATTACACTTTTGGGAGAACAGCGACAAACCGTGCACAACCTTTCGATCTCGAAATACGACTTCGTCCATAGCACTCTTTTTTCCACAAAAAATCAGTCAATTGACTGATCGTTGGAAATCACCTTCGTACATTTCATGATTTCTTCGAAAAGCTAGACAGCAAGCCAGACGGAATAACTTCACGGGGTGTTTAGAACTGGTACAATGTTTAATCCAAGTAACCTTTGTGCTAATAATTCATTACTTTTGGGATAAATGCAGTTGATCCTAAATGCAAATTAAAACTTGATGAGTTCTTCCGACGTGAATACGTGCCGGCGCTATCGCTAATCGCCCTCGTGAACTCTGGCAAAATTTTCTGAGAGCAAGGTGGGTTTATAATGTCAAGGGCAGGTAGATAGGTGGTGTACCTCATAATATGTTGAGGCGATAAGGCACCTGGTTGCTATACGAGTCACAGATTGGAAAGTAGGAATCATGGGCCGTCCGTACACTCACACAGAATGCGGAGGCGTCTATAATATTAATAGCTGTGTTGCTGTTTTCGTTGCTGCTACTGATGTTGCTGCTGCTATTATTGCTGCTACTATTGTTTCTACTCTTGTTGTTGCTGCTTCTACCGTTGTTGGCGTTGTTGCTGTGCTGTTGTTGCCGTTGTTGTCGTTTTAATTGTCTCTGTTGTAGTTGTTGCCACTGTCGTTGCTGTCGTTCTTGTCGCTGCTGTAGTTGTTATTATTGCTATTGTTCCTGCTGATGTCGTGGTCAGTGTCGTTGTCGTCGTCGTTGTTGCTGCTGCTGCTGCTGCTGTTGTTGTTGTTGCTGCTGTTGCTGTTGGTGTCGTGGTGTCATTGTAATTGTCGCTGTTCTCGTTGTTGTAGTTGTTGCCATTGTTGTTGCTGTCGTTGTTGTCGTTGCTGTCGTCGTTATTATTGCTATTGTTCCTGCAGTTGCTGTCGTGGTCAGTGTCGTTCTCGTCGTTCTCGTCCTTGTTGTTGCTGCTGCTGCTACTGCTGCTGTTGTTGTTGCTGTTGCTGTCGTGGTAGCCGTTGCTCTTACTGCCAGTTACAATGTGTAGTGTGTCCCCCCCCCCCCCCCCCCCCCCACTTTCGCCAAGTATAGATTCGTTATAATTATGCCATTCTGACTTTCAACAATCAGAAAGTCCTTCTTCATGTACATGTAGGATCTCCCATCATTTGCGGATGCAGGATTTATCCTCGGCGTATAAAAGAGGAAGAGAAATTAATCAAGGGAAGGGGTTCCATATTATAAAAATGGTGTGGCATCCCAATTGTCAGTTGTCAAAAGAAATGATTGAGGAAGGCGTCG